GCTGTAGCTAATGATTCCAAATTATATTGAGTAGTAGTGGTGAGAGAGGACATCCTTGTCTTGTACCAGATCTAAGAGTAAAAGATTTCAGTTTTTTCCCATTTAGGATTATGTTAGCCATTGGGTTTTCATAAATGGCTTTTACCAGATTGAAGTAGAGGCCATCTATTCCAATTTTGTGTTTAACTTTGAACTTGAATGTGTGTTGGACTTTTTCAAAAGCCTTTTCTGCATCAAATGAGATGATCATATGGTTTTTAGTTTTTGCTCTATTGTTATAGTATATTACATTTATAAATTTTTGAATATTGAACCATCCTTCCATCCCTAGGAATGTATTAATTATTGAAACTGTCCTACTAATTGGTTTTGAAACTGTCTCATTGTTATGTGTTTCTCAATAAAATTAATAAAAAAGATACAATCTATTTGTGATGAATTATCAATAATTATGTATTTGCAAGGATAGCATGAGAGAATTTCCTTCCAAGGTTTGTACTTAAGTGGGTGTAGTACAATTCTTAATTACAAAGGACTAGTATGTCACTATACGTCCTTTTAACACTGTGGCTTATATAGATAGAAAAAAGTTTTAAACATAGTGAATCATGAAGCAGCTATATGCAAGAGGCATCTGAAATATGAAGAAATATGCAGATGGGGTACACAGGGGCTAGGTACTCTTTTTTTTTTTTTTTTACAGGCATAGACATCTAATAAGATTCCTGTCATCAGGGTTGCAGCAGTTACTAGGCAAAACAGTTTTGTAGCATGAACAAAGGGCCACATTCCCACTAACTCAGCTTCTCATTGATCTGACACTAGCTACATGAGGAAAAACAGTTACAATAACTGAAATGTGCAGCCAAAGCTGTGCTACAGAAAAAAGCATAGAAATACAATGAACAGAAAGTCTGGAATGTATTCTTGTGTCCTACCCAAGCCTTCACATTAGAAGTGACTTTGCATTGGGAGAAAGTTGACATGGAATCATGTGTGGAAAGACAAAGAGGATGCAATCAGAATCAGCCTTAGACACATCTGGGGCAGCACAACAGAGAGAGAAAACATGGACATTGGAATCACACTGTCTTGCAGTCAAATCCCAGCTCACACTATTCTGAGTCCTAGTGTCACCAGCTGCAAAATGATGCTGCTCCAGAAAGTCAATCTGAATTTTACTGTAAGTTACTTAATAAGTGAATTCAATGTCTCCCACACCATAGCTGGTGAGTGTCACATTTGTTTTTTTCAGAAGACAGTGTTAAGAAGACACAAGTGTTCCATGTGAGAAATTTTCTTTTGTTTTCTATTTAATTCACCTCCATTCTTCTGGACTGAATGAAACATAATACAGATTCAGTAAATATGGCATTAAAGTATCTTGATTACTATTTTTAAAATCTTTGTGATGTTTACAGTGAAATGGTTGAAATACATTAAAATAATTTGCTATTGATTTTATAATTTTATTGGTTTTAATTGGCCATTTGCATATGGCTTGAAAATGAAAAAGAGATTTCACTAAATCTGCTTTCTTACTGTTCAAGTTCCATAAAATATATGTTTGCTAACTTGAAGTTTGAAAGGTAATTAAATTTATAGAGGCAAAAGGAACTCTTCAGGGATATCTTACAGAGAATAGGTCAATCTATTTAAATTGGTGCTACTTAGAATCACTGTCTAGGACCCACAGGGAAGGAGGCAGTCTCTTTCCCTGGCCACCTTCCAATCTCCATATTCAAATATCATCTCTATTCTTGTCTGAGCTGAATTAGTGAATTTTACAAGAATTTGTGACATGAAACACTGTATGTAGATGGCAGATGTCCAACCTCTATGTGGGGAAGTGTCTGGGGCTTGCGTTTCTGTCCTCTGCTCTGATGATTGTGGAAAAGTGATCAATGGAAAGATGAAAACTCTGTCAGAGGAAAGGGAATCACTGAGTTGTAGGGATGATCTAAAAGAATGTGGAATCCAGGGATTGATGGACTGCAGCCAACAGTAGCGAGGAGTCACAATGGACAGGCCCACCTGGAAGGCTCTTACTGAAAGCAAAGACTACAGGGAAGAGGAGGAAGAACTGAGGGAAGAACTTGCGATTTCCCTCCTTTTCATCATAACTCACCCAGTGAGAAAGGTAGAAATGATTCTCTTTTCTTAAACTGTCCATTCTCCAGAAAATGCTCTGGGTTGAATGTTTCTGGAGTGGCCCACTCTGTGGGGTCCCTGTGCAGCGCTGTCAAGTTGGTCAGAATCATGGTCCCCTAGAAAAGGCAGGAGAAATTCAGGCAAGGCTTCACTCAGGCAACATGTTCATGCTCAGGGACAGGGTCTTTGACTCCCAATCTCAGGCCTGCAGATAGCTTTAGTTTCTTTACCCTGCTGAGTGCACACTTACTTCATCTCACTTTCCCAGATCATATATGTTTTTACAGGACCACTCAGAGGGACAGAATGCCATTCTTTGCTAGGAATGTTACAGGGAAGTTAGGCTACTTTTGGGTGTAGAATGGATTTGATGTATAGCAGATGTTACTGTAGGATTAGGGAGGAACATATTGGTGATGAGAACAGAGCAATGGGTTGGCTAGTCAGTACACCAGTAACCAAATCACCCAGCCCCTCAGGGACGTGATGACCATGGCAACATTACAGAGGGAAAAGACACCCCCTTCTCTTTCACTTCTCCATCCTCTTCCCTCCATTATCAATCACTCTTCCTGCTCACAAGAGGGTTAGTAACACTACCAGGTGGCCAGAGGAGAAACCCATCTCTTGAAATACATGACAAGAAATCACAGTGCCAAGAGAGTGAGCCTTTCCCTCCTGCTGCTTCATCTCATCCACGAGTGAGGATGGTCACTTTACAAATCTGGTGATTCAGTCATCTCCATTCATTTCCCACAAGGTCCTTTTTGAGGCTGCTGCTTTATCCACCTATATGCTTATAATGTCTTCTAATATTTCCACCATCCCTTTAAATCTGCTCTACATCATGAGAGCTGAGTATGATTTGAACATGACTCAATGACTCACATTGTCCATTCACTCACCTCACAAACTTGATACTCTTCTATAGCTTCCTGACTGTCTCAGGTCAGAAACCCATCCTTCGGACTCACCATGGCACCCCTCCTGTGTTGCCTTGGGTCTTGGTTACTTTTCTTGTTGCTGAGACAATATACTTACACCCAAAGTTAAAGGAGGAAATGTTTATTGTAGCTTAGTTTGTAGATATTTTAGTCCATAATCAGCTAGTTCCAAGGCAGGATGGCATAGTGGAGAGACATCACAGCATGGGCAAGAGGCATCAGAAGACAAACAGCAGCAAGCAATGCTATCATCTCTCTTTCTGTCCTTATATTTTGTACCAGCTTCTTTTTTTGGTCTTTTTTCCCCTCTTATTCTCCTGTGTTTAATTGTTTGCCCTATTTGGTGGGTTCTTTCCATTCTCATGAGGCTGTGATCAATTTGCTCCCTCTCTAGAAC